CACTAATTCGTCAAGCCGTGAAGGGTAAATTTCATTAAACCAGACTTTGTCATAGCAATGAATATGTATAAAGAGACGTGGAGTTGTCTCCATGGAAAGGGGACGTTAGCCGCATCCATGGCCTTCGATATGACAAGGTGTGATACCATTGACAAACGCTGGCCCCTCTTGCCATACCCGTATCGTTAGAGGGTGGTCTTGGTTGTTGTTGCCTGCTGAGCACCACACCACCATGCACGAGCGACCATCAAGGGACTGCTAGCCACTACTCGATGGATTTTTATCGCTAGAGGGTAGTCATTCCGTCCGATCATAGGGTTGCAACTGTTACCAGCCTCACACTAATTGTACCAAGTTGCGCTGACTCTTTGTTCGTTTTCGAGAGCTAGTGAGATAGAATATATAGAAATCCGACCCTTTATCCATTGTCGAGAGTTGGTGTAATAAAATATGTGAAAATGTGTAACCTTTTGCTCATTGTTGGAGATTAAATGAGATAGTAAATTTGGCTTTTTGACCATCGTCAAGAGCCACAAGATACAGCAATGAATATCACTATAGAGGACATGACCGTCAAGAAATGCCCAGGTATGTCGTCGAAATAGATCTAACCATGTCTGACCATGTATATGGAAATAGATGTTGAAGTAAGTTGCATTCTGCGATGTCTCCAACGAAGTGAATAAGTGTCGTTTCTGGCGATATTGATTCCATTGCAACAATTAGTAGAAAATAAGAATTGCACGTCCAATATAAAAAATAAGCGTTGTGGGCCTTTACTGATGTGGACCCGCTCACGTCATTCATTACACAACCATATAAATTCATCCTTCAACAATATATAAATGCATACCATATTTAATGCAAATGATAGCATTATATATATATTCAGATTTTATATATAAGAGTTATTTGTAAGACTTTTATTAATCCCCCTTTAAAATTATCAACTGTAATTAATCTTAATTATTTAAAATAAAAAAATAACAATTAAGATTTTGTGTAAGAATTATCTATAAAATTTATGTGTATATTGATCTCCACTCAAAATTCTTAGCTGTAATTAATTGAATCTTTCTTTTCTGATACTTTTCTGGGCAGATTTCGTACTTTTCTCTTCGGTTCAATATCATCATTTGTTGCTAATTTTATTTAGAGTTTGTGATTTTAGAGTTTCGATTACATTAAATTAGAAAATTTTGATCATGAGATAGTAAGAGTCATCTGTCTCAATTTAATGGTTATTATTATATAGTCTTGAATAATTAAATTGTCATTAACTCGTTATTTATATATATGTGACATTATCATTTGTACCTGCAATGTAAAATGTGTTTATATTATGTAGATGGTTTAATTGGTGTTTCTTGATCCTTCGGTTTTAGGGTATGGGGATTATTGCTTTTACTGCTGCTATATCGGCATTGGGACCTCCAACTTGCATCGACAAAGGAAATTGCATAGATCCTAAGGAATGGCAATTGGGCGTCCTTTTTGTTGGTTTAGGGTTACTGGCAATTGGAGCTGGTGGCATTGGACCCTGCAACATTGCCTTTGGGGCAGACCAATTTGACACCACAACTAAAAAGGGAAGAAGACAATTAGATAACTTTTTCAATTGGTGGTACTTTTCAATTGTAGTAATTATTAGTGAGTATTAAGTCAACTAAACTCTTGTTAATGTTTTAACAGGTTTGATCGGAGCGTTTGCTGCGATTGCTTTGATGGAACTTCTTACGATAAATTATCAGAGAGCATGAGGACAGTTACCGGCAAATCTTCTCTCTGAGCTTATCAGAGTCAAGCTACTTGAACTCTCCTCTTGTGAACATTGTTTATACAACAACTAAGAAGAGTGGGAAAGGGCCGTGATTGGGAGGTCATGATCTCAATAAGGATATATAGGCTGGAGTAGTTCTATTGCCTCCTGGCTGGTATAGAAGTTCTGAATTTGATTTA